AACTTAATACAATTGATTTGTTAAAATGACAAAATAACTTTGGGCTCAATGGAACTTAGCTTGAAAACAAACTTTCCCCTCCCTCAGTCTTTGGAACAGTGGTATCTTCCAAGGCTTCCACCTCCAGACTGAACCAAGGAGAAAGATGTTCAGAAAATGAGAAAAATGTCAATTTAATAATATCAAAAAAGGATAACAAAAGGTCATGCTTCCATAAAATACAACTAAGATTATAACCCAACTGAGGTCAACTGAACAGCAACCAAACACAAACACAAACTGACCTCCGGACTGAACCAAGGCTGCTTTAATAGGGGGGGGACCTAACAAAATAGAAGCCAAACCATAATTAACTTAATACAAATAATTTATTAAAATGACAAAATAACTTAGGGCTCAATTGAACATAGCTTCAAAATGAACTTTCCCCCTCCCTCAGTCTTTGGAACAATGGTATCTTCCAAAGCTTCCACCTCCAGCTGGAATATAATTTGGGCCCTTAATGGTGGTGTAAATGGTCATATGAGACCAAATCTTAACTCTCTGTATGCCGTAAAATTTCAGAGTTGAAACGGTGACGCGTTTCAGCCCAAAACGCCACACTAAGAGTAAAGCTCGGAGGTGGGAGCTTCATGATGGGGGCCTTCTATTTGTTATACATATGATTATTTCATGTAATTAAATAAACACAATGATCCCAAACAGTAAAAAACAGTAAAAAACAAATAACTGTGGCTAGAAAAGGCCCAGCTGGTCACCTGACCTGAGTCTGATAAAAAACAAGAGAAAAGCCGAAACTCAGAGTTCATAAACAGAAGATTTAAAGACTGTTTGCATGGAAGAAAGGGGCCAGATTGAGCCTATGACCTGTTCAAGACTTATTTTACCTGCTTTGCATCTAAATATTATGATGGTGGTTCTCACCAACACGACTTAAGGGTTGGTGGTTCGAATCCCGGCCTTTCTGAGTGGAATCTGCTTGTTCTCCACGAGTCCTGTTTGGTTAAACAGGCTCCGCCCCCTTTGACCCTGAATTTAGTGCAAAGAAAATATACAGAAAGCGTAAATAAACCCACCTACCGACCCTGTAAATTTAAATTTAATCACATCCATGCTAGCATGTTGCTATCCATCTTAAGCATTCCACAAGTTTCAAACATTTTAGCTAAGCATGTGGACTGTATGTAAAATATACCAGGAGGAATAACCACAGGAATAAATGGGGGGCCGAAAAAGGAATGTCTTTATTTATGGTGGAAGTATTGTGTTTCTATGAGGGGAACCTCACAAATTGCTCTCTCACTTTGCCAAACGCTCTCCAGACTTTTAGCTTTTCCCTTTTCACGGGACCCAGAACACAGAGTTTGGTTTGATGTTAGCCTTGTTACACATTTAACAAGATATGAGAGTAGATAGATAGATAGATAGATAGATAGATAGATAGATAGATAGATAG